TCGCTCAGTTTTTGCCAGTTGCTGGGGCTGAAATGTTCTGTGTATTTATCCTTGTTAGTTTTTAGCTTCCATTTTCCAAAATGGTGTACAAGGCTCTTGGAGCGCTTGTCATAAGAATGCTTGTCTACCTCATATCGCTCTAGGTGTCCTTCAAAAACTGTAGGGTACTTTTTTAATCTGATGTCTTGGTCGTACTCCACCTTTCCCGTTGGTTTTGTGAAGCTGTGTTTGACTGCAACTCGCACAAACCCACATCCAAAGAAACGCGCTATTTATGGCGCCAAGACTAACAGCACAGCCACTTCTTGCTGATATAATTGCGTGAGGATTGCTGCTTTCTTTTTGAAATTCACTTTTAGACCAAGCCAATCGCGTATGAAACTTTGATATAGAAAACCTTGAGATAATTGCAATCTTTGTAGAAAGAGCCTACATCTACATGCATCAGAAACGGATCGTTGCTTACGAATTAGGTAACTTAAATTTTCCGCCAAAACCTGGCGCATGTCATTTAGAAAGGACAACGAAGGCTCATACTAAGCTGTATGCAATAATCATGAATTTTATTTCATAAACAGGCAACACCAATATATATATACAAGAAGCATTTCTTTGCAATTTATATACAGATTTATTCTCACCTTTTCACTTAGAAACAGAAAAATATACATTATTTAAACCACTTCACTATTAGAAAAAGTACCCATTCTGATTTTCCAGAGTCTTTAGTTAATGTTTGTGCGATAAAACCGGCGATAACAACGGAAAATGACTCAAACTTCGACCAGATCGATCCTTTTTCGTCCGCCATTTTCTATCTTAGAACCAGGCCTGATATCGAATCATTGATCCTATTGGCCATTTCGTGTCCGGGGCAATGGAAATTATCGTTCCCAGCTTACGTTTTCAGTCAACTGCTCGGTCAATATGGCGAATTCAAGATGGCTGACAACAGTCTCAAGCGGAATGTATCTTCTAAACCGGCAACACTTTTTACATTCGCTGCCCAGCTGTAACCTCCAAATACGTATGTATCATACTGTCTTCCATATTTCTGTGCATGGCCTTTTCAGAAAATCAATCCATTTGGCTTTCAAAGTCGCAAAAAATGATCGTTTTATTGTATGTTTTTGGATTGGCTGGAAACTGCTTCCAAACCACACATTATTTCTTCAAAGGCCAAGCACAGTTTAAGAGTTTAAGTATCCTTCATTTCAAAAGTATCATTGCATATGTTAAGGGTTAAGGAAAAAGTGTTGCCATTTTTCGTTGAAAATGGTCTATTTATCATCGCCTGTTGGCCTTCCTTAAACGGCAATCACGTGACTAAATCACGTGATCTTTTAACAGAGTAACCGGAATTTTGAATACTTTCAGTGGACCAAATTTCGTTTGATTTTATTGAAACGTCTTTGAACAGCATTAATTTCTTTTTAAAAAATGCATTTTTTCAGTCTGGGCCCATGCCTTAATTTACCTGAGTAAGTCTCGCTTCTAATCTTCTTAACCGGCATCCAGGTAGAAGCATTGGCGCCAACTTTACTCTTTGTGACCTTCCAGTTAGATAGTTCCGCATCAGAGCAATGCCAGGTTTGGCTACCCCATACGCCTTCAGCTTAGCTAGTAGCAAACCGTGAGGTACACAATCGAAAGCTTTGGACAGATCCAGCAATATCACAGCAACCACTTCCCTATTATCCAGGCTAGCCCTCCAATCCCCTATTAAACGTTGCAGCGTGTTCTCACAGCCATAATTCTTTCGATATGTAGATATAAAGTCAGACAATATATCTTTAGAATACTCCGATAATTGATTTGACAAGATTATTTCACAGATGTTGTTTTAGACTGGTAATACAGTCACGGGCCGATAATTCTTTTTGGAAAGTTCATCCCCTTTTTTTGAAAAGAGGTGTTACCTGGCCCATTTTTCACCTAACTGGATAAGAACAGATTATTCTTGACACTGGAAGTGCTATAACGGGAGCAGATATTTTAAGCAGCCTCGAATGTAACAGATCATGTCCACAAGATTTGTGGATTTGTGACTCTTGATGGAAGATGGCAGCAGTTCCACGTGAGATGAGTTAACCGGCTCAAATAATTACCTACATGGGCATACTTGAGAAGCGAGTGTTCATCGAGAATATATATTGTATAGTGAATTCAAATACATACAACATGTCATCGGGATTATGAAAAGGAGCTGCACTGAGATCCTCCACAATTTTATCACAATCAAAGTTTTTAAAGCTGCGAAAAGAAAATTGACTAGCCTATGGCAATATTGTCCTTTATGTACAAATCTGAGGGAATTGGGGGTGGGGGCTGCTGCCCTTGCTAATCAGCCCCCCAAACTCCAGTAGATAATGGTCATGTATCAGAAAACTCTTCCGGTTTAAAGTGGGAGCTACTGCCCCTGCAAGTTAGCTTCCCCCATCATCCCCATAAAATAAACAAAAAGAAAGAGCTGGGCCAGCTGCCCTTGCAAGTCAGGTCCAGTGCTTTCCAATTCTCATACATTGGCGCCCTGTAATCCCTGTATGAACTCAACTATGTACTTGAAAGAGAAGGTAAACGAATATATTTACGCAAAGCATGATCTGGGCATCGGACATCCCCCTATCTTTAGCAAAAGAGGCGGCCCCAATACGGAAGCTGTGACCCTTGCAATGCGAAGAGTTAAGGCCACAAGATGTCAATGCTAGCCTAAGTATGTCTGTAAAGAAACTTCTAGACACTGAGGTATTGTCCAGATTAGCAAAGAGGGGGCCGGGTTGGTTACTGCGAAGAGCCAAATAATCTAACAACAGTTGGACAGGACAAAAAGGCGGTTGACGGTGTTTAACTATAGAAAAGGGGCACTGATTGTAGCTGTGTTTATGGTTGGTAGAAACAAGCTTAAGTGCAACAGTATTGCCACTATCATCGGCTAGCTTAAATAGTTGACCTATTTGGATAGGGTAGGTGAAACCAAAGGGGAAGTGGAGGTCATCTCACCAACGCGTAAAAAAGCATAAAAGGCTGTAGAACACATGGCCTTGACAGAATATTTGCAATTATGGCCCCTCCTGCCAAATCTTAAATTATTTCCCCATATTTCATGAGGGCAGGGGCCTCGTGGGAAATTTCTTGGTGTAAATTGCAACAAAGACATGGAAACTACTAAGCCACGACTAAACAGATTGGATCTTCTTAGGTTTTGACACTGTTTCGAGGCATAAAGAAGTGACAGGATCACTATCAGTGCCTTGAAACGTGAGACGATATTGGTTTTTGAAGACTGGATTTTTTAACAGGGAACCAAAGTCAATGTATTCATTGATCCAGATCTTTGCTCATAATTTTTCAGATACACAAGCATCGACCGGCAACCCGGCAGACTGGAATAACTGACCTGGCATCTCTAATGGTGCTTGCACTGCTACACCTATCAATGAGTTTGCTGTGTTGGCCACACTGCTGAACCACGGATGAAGCCACGCCCTCAGGAGAAGCGGGGGAACTGGTGGGGTCTGGTCCACTGGTGGAAGGTGAGGCAAAGGTGGACATCGAGGTGCTTGAAGATGAGCATGCAGACAGCCACCTCTGTCAACTGAGAGGATGCAGGAGTAGTGGTCTGGGCAGGAAGAACTGTTGAGAAACGATGAGAAACCTGGTCTGCAACCTTTGCGACTAGTGTCTCCAAAAAGTGAGGGGGCAGCACACTCTTGAATGGCATCCCTTGTGACGAGAATGCTTGTGAGATTGCTACTGAAGAGGGTGAGAGAACTGCACCTGACCCGTTCGCTTGCACCCGTGTTGAAACGAGGGAGTGACTTGCGGTTGAGCTTGCCTGTACACTGTTCCCTGGACTGGTGCGAGAAAGCCCCTTAGAACGCTCACTATGAGGGCGAGTTTCAGTCTTCGCTTTAGGCATGCTTCACAAATCTGAAAGTTGGTGGAAATCTGCTTAACTGGCTAACCCACTTTATCGTTGGTAGAAAACAGAGTCTCATTCCGCGGGCATTTTTCTCCTTGGAGGATGGTCACCTCTGGTATTCCCCAAGGTAGTGTAATTGGGCCAGTCGTGTTCCTTGCCTATATTAACGATATTGCAACTGGCGTAAGGTCAAGCATGCGCCTGTTTGCAGATGACAGCAAGGTTTACAGGATTATTTACGAAGAAAACAACGGGGAAAAACTTCAATGTGACCTCAACACACTACAGAAATGGAGTGAAAATTGGCAACTTCATTTTTACCCTGACAAATGTGAGGTTCTACGTGTTACCCATGTGAGAGATCATACCAGAGATATCCTTTCAAGCTCTCTGGTTTTACGCATCAGTCTGTCACCGAAACGGTTGATTGGGGGGTCTCATTGACTTCTAATGTATCCTGGAACACCCAAACGCAGAAAGTTGTAAATAAAGCCAACAAGATTGTGGGTTTCCTTAAAAGGAATGTTGGTCCAGGGAACAAGGAAGTCTTTTCTCGTCTGTACAAGGCCTTGGTTATACCCATTCTGGAATATGCTGTCCCTCTCTTGTCACCCTATTTACAGATGAACATTGACGCTCTTGAACGAGTTCAACGTAGGGCCTCAAAATACGCTCTCCCGATGTCATCTAGGGACTCTCCGAACGAAGAAAGACTGGCAATGCTTGGGTGGTCCAGTCTTCAATCAAGGAGGTCTTATCTATCTTTGCTAGAGTGCTACAAGACTATTCATGGTCTTAATGGCTTTAACTGTGATGATTATTTTGAATTTAGTTGTTATGGTAAAAGAAGATCAAACCATTCATTTAAATTAATACAGCCGTTAGCTAGAGTAAATTGTTTTTTGCACTCATTCTTTGTTAGAATTATTAAACAGTGGAACGCTCTCCCTAAAGAGATAGTGTTGTAAAATTCTGTTAATATTTTACTAGCCATTTCTTAATTATTCTAAAAGTTTACATTGTGTAGTATTTTTTTAAAATTACTTTATATTTTATGTAGGGAGCGTCCTCGATAGCGATAACCTCTGACGTTTCCTTTTATGTATCCTTACTTAATAAATATTTGATTTGAAACTATTTTGAACAACAAACAGTCTGGCAGAAACTGAAAAAACCGGAGTGAACGTGTAGTTGATACACCCGGTACAGAGCAAATAAATAGAAGAATAACGTTGCAGGTACTACCATGTCAAGACATAATGTCGACGAGGCGGCAGGCCCATAATTGCCCCTCAAACAAACAGAGCTGGCATACCTACATATGACCAGCTCGGTGACAAAAATACTGGGTTAACTACATATCACCAGTTATAATCTAGCGTGGATTCCCAAAACAAAAAGAGCTGGCATAATTACCTATTACCAGCTAGAAAACAAAAACACTGGGATAACTACATAGCACCAGTCATAAGCTAGCATAACTACGTATGGCTAGCCCTCATCGCCCAGAATTCTATTCACTTGTGCGACATGTACTTACAGCGCCAGTTTCTCAATGCGCAGCATAATAACTGAATAAATAAGGTTTCGGAAAACCAGCGAAATGCCGACTACTCTTGTAAAAGGATCGTTAGCTGTCAATCAAACGGTTTGATGCGTGAAGTGTGAATCTCTATTGTAAATTTCTAGGTGTGAAAGTGAGTACGGTAATTGCACTCCAATTAAAGGTGGGCCCCCCGTAACAAAGAATTTATTCGCATGCAACTTTTTTCATGATGCCCTTAGAATAATCTGACTGCTCGCGACGGCCAAACATTCTCTTTCAGTACATACTTTTTGTACAGTGTTGTCAAATAGCAAAAGAAATGAGCGGAACACTTGCATTTACTTCATCATTACATTTCAGTTTCGTTAATCTGGTCTAATTGAAGACGCACTCTTTTACTCGATTGGTTTGTGCACTCCATGCGTTGATTGCCGATTTAAAGATAAAGTTTTTTTCTATTTTTGTAAGAGGCTGGAAGTGAAGTAATTGCAAGAGAGTGTCAGGAATCTTCCGATTGCTTCTAACACGAGAGATTTTCCTGATAATATTCACGTCAAAGCAACCAACAGACTCAAATCACTTCACAATTTAATGTTCACACTATAAGGATGATTACAATCGCCAGATCTCCTTGATTCGCACATGGTTTTGAAATCCTAAACTTATATCACGTCATTACAGCTTATCACTAAGCAACTAGATCAAAGGAATAAAGTTCACTTTCACAGCTTGACAGTCACGCAGTCCATTTTTCCAACACTCTCCCCCCATTTGTCTCGAGAGAGCAAATGTCTGAGAGGGCATCTTAAACTGATCAATTAACAATGCTAAAATGAAAAATCACCGTGAATGAAAGATAAAAGAAGTCTCTCTAGTTTTCATCATCGATTTGTGCAAGTTCCTGTATACGAGCTCTGGCAGCAACTGCAGCGTTTCTACGTGGTCTAAAGGCTGGCACAGTAGGGTTCAGAGCTGCTGGTGCTGTCTCCACTGCCATGTCTGAGGTAAGTTCAAGTGGGTATAAATGCTGTACTAGGTGCTCAATGACTGACTTGGGAGTGCGTTGCTTTGCTCCTCGGACTACACCATCTAGTCGATCACCACTCCCAACTTCCACTGAGCATGGTTCTTATCGTCGGACTTGATGATAACCACATCTCCTTTCGCTGGATGGGTACTGTCACCCTTGCGCTTTAGGTGGTCTCTCATGGAGCCCCCTCAAGTATTCTTTGGTCCAGCGGGACCACACTGCGTCTTTACACTTGCTCAAGTACTTTGGACACTCGCGGAGGTCATAGTCTTGGATGTGGTTCGACTCCAACTCTGGCAGTGCGTTCGGTTGTATGTGCAATAGAGAGCTTGGGGTAAGGATAGGCATTTGGATGTCATCCGCCACATAATCTAGCGGTCTGTTGTTAAGGGCAACTTCCACGTCTAGCAGCACTTTTTAAAGAAGTTCCATCCACGACAGAAATCCATTCCCGATAGTTTTAAACAAGGATCCCCTAAGCAGCAAGATCAATCTTTCAAATTGGCCTCTCCACCAGGGTGCATTACTCAGATTGAATTTCCAGTCAATCCTCTGCTGGGTGAGGATGCTTGATCAATTTCGATTCCCTCACAAATGTTTTAGCATTGTCAGAGTAGATTCGCTGTGGTCTCCCGCGTTGGGCGATGAAGCACTTCAAGCTTCTGATGATCTCAGTGGCCTCAAGGTTTGGCACTAGGTCTACATACACAGCACGTGTAAGGCTACAAGCATACAGTAGTATGTAAGCTTTTCCCTCGGTTTTTGGTTTTTCCGGTACCTCAAAGGTCCTGCAAAGTCCACTCCAATCACTTGGAAGGGTGTTTGGCCCTCTGTGCGATCCCTTGGAAGATTCCCTGGTGGTGGAGAGGTATAGGCCTGCACCCTGAACCGCCGACATCCATGGCAAGACTTCACAATCTTTTTGGTTAATCTCCTCAGCTGTGGCACCCAGTAGTACTCTCCCACTTTCGCCATTGTACTCCCAACTCCCCCGTGCAGTGTTGCAAGGTGGGCCTGTGCCACCAACTTCTCCATGTACCGTTGTCCATCGGGTAGGTATATCGGGTAGTGGCCCTGAACTCTGCCCTAACATTCCTGAACTCCATCACAGTTTGGTTGCAGGTTCAGCTGGAGCAGGTCGTCCTTGTATCGCCCATCAGCTGTGGCTCGTACCTGCACTTGCTTCCCCCAAATGAGCTCCGCTTTCTTTGTTTCATCCGCAGTTAGCGGCCCCCCAGCCTCTTGGTCTTCTTGGCACGAGAATTCTGAATGGATCGGAGTATCCATGTGGTCACTCGGATTGTTCGCCACTGGCTGGATTTCTCTAGGAGGTCATCTAGCTCGTCTGCTGCTGCCACTGCTACTGAAAGCAGGTCTTGTTTTGCTTTAGCCTCTGCCAATGATTCCTGTTTGGCACTCGTCACTATGTCAGGGTGCCAGGATGCTTCATTTGACAACTTCTCTGGTCCGTTCCACCACAAGGCATGGTTGGTCACTTCTTGGCTACGGCTTCCAATATCAGCTGGGTTGTCTGACGTTCTCACGTGATGCCACACTACATCAGAATGCACTTGAATCTTCTGAACTCTGTTACTTAAACTGTTTGTACTCTCCTGGGCGTTTTATCCAATGCAGGACAACGGTGCTATTGAGCCAGCAGTACTTCACGGATACAGGAAATCATTTGACAAGAGGTTCAACACCATGTGGCCAGACACCAACTCTAACCGAGGTATAGTCAATCCTTTCTTTGCTTATCTTGCCCTTGAAGCAACTAGCCCTTGGTGGACACCCTTCTGTTGCACCACTACAGTATACACTGCGGCGGCCACACCATTTCCACTAGCATCACCGAAGGTGGGCAACTATATTGCTTGGATGTCTTTCTGATGTGCTGCTAATGATCGGGGTACAGTAACATAGCTTGGAAGTTTCTCCTCCCAGCGAACCCAGCTTTTCATCAAGTTGCTTGGTAGTTTAGCGTCCCAAACTAGTTTGGCATCACAGATATCACGGTAGAGGAATTTGTCACCCAGTGTGATTGGTGACACTAGCCCCAGTGGATCGTATATCTTGGCCTCTTTACTGAGAATCCCTCGCTTTGTTGGCTCAGTGCTCTCTGATGGGAAGCTAACGCTGGTGTCACAGTCCTTGTTCCACTGCAGACCGAGTAGAGAAGCTCCCTTCTTCCTTGAGGTACCCAACTGCTCCTTCGGATATGTTACTTCTTCTTAGACTGTTACTGAACACACTTTCTCCAACTCCATGTTTGAGTGCCACTTGTGCAACTCAAATGTCCTTTTAGCAAATATCTACACAGATGCTGACTTGATTGTTTCTGCCTTTGCCTGAGTGGGCCCTCCACTGATAAGAGATCATCGACATAAAGGCTCTTCTCAATTTCACGAACAATCTACGCGTACTTCTCTCTGCAGCTTTCCAGGAGATGTTGTTCTACTCCCCCAAGGAGAAATGGTGAGCAGGTGAGGCCAAAGAGGGCCCTGGTGAATCTTAGTGCTTCTACCGTCTGGCTGTTCAGATCTTTGAACCAGTGGAACCTTAGTTCATTATGGTCGTCTTCTCGGATTCTGACTTGGAGAAAGGCCTGTTTGATGTCTCCTGCAATTACAACAGGGTGGAAACAAGCACGAACCAAAACACTCCACAACTGGTTCTGAAGGGAAGGCCAGCATTTAAACATTCATTCAACGAACGTTCTCCAGTGTGCATGAGCAGGTGCATCGTAAACGACACGAAGCTTAGTGGTTTCTGCTGATTCACGCACTACTGGCTTGTGTGGGATGTAGAACTCCCGACTCCCGGTCACAGGTCCTGAGACTCTTTTTACTATTCCAGCCTCGATCTGATCCTGGATGACTTGATCATAATGCTCAATTGTTCCTTGGCTGCATGACTTTCTCACAAGGTTCCCCAACCGTCGAAGACTTCCGACTTCGTTGCTGGGTAGGGAAGGATGGTTGCCTCTCAATGGAAGCCCCATCTCATACCATCCTTCTGCATCCTGTGTCAACTGCTCTTTGAACTCTGCTTAAACTTCAGCTTGGTCACCAGTGGACGTAACAGCCAGGCCCAGTACATCTTACTTGCATAAGTTGTCATAGTCTACGTGTGAGGTCTGTATGCAGAACATTGGAGTTAAATCCACTTCCTTCCCAGGAGACATTGTGGTCCAACCGAGCTTCGTCTTCTCCTATAGGCTCACCAAGGGCTCCAACACGGGCTGCAGTTTTGGTCTTGATTTTCGCATAATCACTGGCTCCCAGGATGAGATGTACTGGCATGATATCCTTAGAGTCCTTGTCTTCCATTTCAATTCTTTTTAGTTGGGCATACTTGGTCAAGCACTGCTCGTAGCGAGGGTTTTGCAAAGAGAGTAGTTGATTCTTATCCACTTTAGTTACTACAGTGTCTAAACAGACGTCCCCAGAGGTTGAACTGACTTGCACTTGAAATATTTCGACTTGCTTGGTAACCGCTCCCA